AAAAATTTTATCAGATATAAATAATTGATTATCAATCATTTTATCAGATATTATAACCTGTTTATCAATTATTTTATATTAACCTTTGGATTTATTTATAAGTATTCAAATTTTAAAAAAGGTCTAGTAGTTATTTAAAGATTTTTGTGATCACATTATCATATTAAAAATAATTTTTAAAAAATAATTATTAATTTCATTATCAAATTTTTACCTAAATTTAACCTATTTAATATTATTCATTCTATTATAAATGAATGAGATTTTTAGAAGACATTTTTGATTATTGTAATTAATCTTTAAAAAATTAAAATATGTAACAAAAACTATGTAATAATCTGAGATAAATAAGTTAATATATATTAAGTTAATTTAAGTTAGCTTAAAGATTTTTTAAATATAATTAATTTTTGATTTAAAATTATCAGAAAAATATAGGATATGTTAAATTGTTTTTGTTATACATTATTATAAAAATATCAAAGAAATTATATCTAATAAATAAGTTTAGAAGGAGATGAGTTATTAGAATAATTTAAGTCAATATTAAAATCACTGAAAAGAATGATATAGTAATCACATTATCTAAAGCTATTTAATAAAAATAGTCAGTTTTTTAAAAGATTATTTATATTCTTTCTTAGTGAAAAGTAGCAATTAGCAACTAAAAGTTTTATTTGTTTACAAATTATAAGTTTAGTATAAATGATTCTATCAAATTTGAAATTGTAATAAAAAATATGTTTACTAATTTTAAATTAAAAAATAGGCTAATATCAAATCTAATGAATTGGCTTACTTAATGTGAATTAAAATAGATAGTATAGTCTAAAAATGAATTGAATAGTGATAAATTATCAAATTTAAAGTTAGTTTCTTATAAGCTTATAATATTAAAATAATGAGTTAAATATAAAAAAAAAAGGTAATTATATTTAACAAGGTTTTTAATAAATAAATATTAAGATTTGAAATATTATAAAAATTATTTAAATTGGTATTAGGTTAGATTAAAATTAATATAAGGATAATATTATAAAATTAATTATTATAGAAAGCTGCTAATGTAACTTTTAATTTATTGTCTAATATTTATGTTAAAAGAAAGAAATATATTGTCAACAAAATAATTGGCCAGTCATAATGAAATTACGTAAATGACGCAGTATGATGATCTCCTAATCCAGAATTCTGAATATACTAAGAATTTTGTAAATTCTGAAAATACAGGAGATCTACGTAATTCTGAAGATATTTCAAATACTAATGATAATCATAATTTTATAAATTAAATGAAGTCTAAGAATATTTAGCGTTATACGTATTTTTAATATTTTAAATTTTATTGTTATTTTTATTTTATCTTACATTTTTATTATTTTACATATTTTTATTATTCTCAATGTATTTATTTACTTATATTTTATTTTGCTAAATTAGTTAGTTTATAATATAGTAAATAGTTAACCATGACAAAAAAAATTTTGTATAAATAGATAGACTTTTTGCTTATATTGTAAATTAACTCTTTTGCAGATTCGTAAACTCTTTTGCGAATACAAGTTTTAATATTAATAAAGGAATCAATTCAAAACTTATATTTTCTGCCTCTTTGTGTCTTTATATAGTCTGACGTGATCCTTACACTTTATTTGTAATTGAGTTCGTCATCTGAATTCTTTAAATAAAATTGTCTACAATCTCATCTTTCAAGTCTTTATACTTGATAGATTTGTTAAGTCTAACGTGTAAATCTGCTAAAGTTAAGAGTTAGACAGATCCTAACGTCTTGACTGTAGTAAATCGCAGTTAAAAATTTTGAGTAGAAACTTGATAACGTGACCACCTCAAGTTGAAGAATTCTATGATAACAATATGTATATTATAATTGCTTAAACAATTATTTTTAAGTGGAATAGACTAAAAGTTACTATATGTATTGATTAGTTTATTAATAAGTAAAATAAATACAGATATTCTTTATTATTAGTAATAATATATAATAATTAATTTTATTAGTTGGTTTTTAAAAGGTTGTGATATAGCAGAAGATGTCAATATAAGAATGAATTAAATCTAAATCTAATGCAATTTTAGTAAGCATATTATTATAAAGGGCAGTATTCAATAAAGTAGTAATTTTGATGTTTAAAACTTTTTTTAATAATTACAAGTTATTCTTAAGAAAATTAAAAACATTACTAAATATTAGAAATTAAGTGATAACATATTCCTTGAAATCAATGATAATAATTTTTTCTAATTATCTTTTTTGTATTAATTATTAACCTATTACTTTTATGTTTTTTTTTTAACTTTAATCATCATTTGATTATAATTTCCTTTTTATTAAAATTTATTTAACCATTTAGTTGTCTATAAAATTTAGAAATATGATAATTTATTGAAAATATTATACCTTACTGAATTCTTTCACTAAAAAATGTATAGTGTATCTTCAGTTACTTTTCATCAAAATTGAGATTCATATGTTTGACAATAAGTATATCAATTGAAAAAGTAGCAAACTTGATATATTATCAAATGCAAATAAGGTTTGGTATTCTAAAAGCATGTTTTAAATATAGGTATATCACATTTAATCACCTGTTTTATTAAGTTCTTAACTTTCCATTATTTTTTTCTGAATATGTAATTATACAGGTTTCTTTAAGAAAATTATTTGTTATTTGCATATTATCGGAAAGTATAAGATGATCATAAATATCAGTCAAAAATTCACTGATATAAATCAAATGTTTATTACTTTTTTTTTGTAATAATTATTCTCTATTTGGAATTCAAAGACTTTGACTTCTATCATAGCTGAAAATATATATTTATCATGAAAAATTTGCTAAAAAAATGGGCTCTAGGAATTTTTTGACTAAAATTAAAATCTTATTACATTTTTAATCTAATAACATTAAAAACTAAAATGCAATAAAAAACAAAAATTTTGTTAAAAATTTCTAGAGTTCCATTTCCTAGCAAACCTCCTATTTGTGATAAGAATAAGTGATTATACATTATTTTTATTTGACCTAAAATTATCTTCAGAGAAAATAGGTATTCTATCCTCAAGCAGGTCTAGCTGTTTTAAAAAGATTTTTTCAATAGGTTACCACATCTTTTCTTTCTTCTTTACTCTAGTGTATATATATCTAAGTTCTATTAAATAGTTTCTTGCGATATTAATATAAATAGTTAGCGGTAGTGTTAAATCCAATTCCTGGTAAGATAACTTTATTTATTTGTGTTATTAATGTTTTTGAAGTAACATCCCATTTATGTTTTCAAATATATGATATTATTTGTAAAAGGATGTTTTCATCCCAAAGAAAGCTCCAAGTTTTGACATGATGTTTTCAATAAAAATAGGAGTTTTTTGCGTGATTATATAATCATTATCTATAAGCGAATGCATATAGCATGATATGCTTCTTTTCTGCTATATTAGCAACAATCTCACTTGACAAAGCAAAAAATGAGTCACAATTAAATGATTATAACGGAAAGAGAATCTCAAGAAAAATGTAATATACGTGATAATAAACCTACTCTTTTAATATTTTCATAATACATCTAACAAAAGTTATCGTCACAAATCAAACTTACAAAGTACCTTACTAGGACCAAGATTCAGCACAGTATGGTTGCAAGAAGGGTGTTGTATTTTTCTTTCTAAAATCTTTGACTATCATTCTGCAACAACATTACATCGAATTAAAGAAAATGATCGTTATATAATTGAGTATTTCCCAAATCCAATCAATCCATGGTGGTTGTGATTGTGATGATGTTCATAAAGTTGTTGCTGCTGTTATTTTTTCTGTTGATGATTAATCATCTGCTTTTTCACTACGTAATCAGACTTTGTATCATAAGATTCATTCTTCCCTTATTCAATTTTTTGAAATTATTAAACGATAAATATTGATGATATTCAATTATTTTCTTCAACATAATAAATGTCAATTTGATATATTAATATCGGATTGAAAAATCCTTTGACGCGTGTTGCAGAATGATCATAATTTTGATAAGCAAATTACTGCGCCGCAATTCCGATTTGTCTAACATTTATTATTCTTTACAGAAGGATAATAATTATCTTTTGTCAATTAGAAACAAATGGGAATCTTAAACGGGCCTCGTCGTCTAGAAGACCTTTTTGTAAATACTGATGCTTTTCCAACCGAATCTTTATCGGTTCAGGTAATTTTTTTTTTCATTTTAAACATGGTTGGTTATTCTTGAACCTGAACGTGAATAAATTCCTGAAAAAAATAGATACAAAAAAAAATCTTTTAATCAAAAGGAATTATATATGCATAATGTATTTCTAATATGATTTAAAATGTTTAAATAGACTAAGACCGAAAGATCGGTATATAAATTGTTTAAAGCTGTGAGAGACGAGAAGTCGTTAAACACGTAAGTATAGTTATATCATTCATCAGTTTTACTTTTGAATATCGCGTTTAATTCTCTCTTTTAATTTAGAATTAAGCTTAACAGAGAATCTCATATTGAATATATATCAGATGGTTTAAAAGGATTAAGTAAATATTTAGTAGTGTTGGATGCTAGTAAACCTTGGTTATGTTATTGGATGTTACATTCTTTGGATTTACTTGATTATGAATTATCTACGGGTTTGATTAAAAGGTATCGTATATATATTTGTTAATCCTCGTTACAGGTTACATATATTCCCATGATAATGCTCGATTTACCTTTCACATAGAGCTATTTCAACCATTTCAAAATTGCAAAATCCTACTGGAGGATTTTGTGGGGGACCGGGTCAAATATCACACGTTGCTGTCACGTATGCTGCTGTAAACGCGTTGGCGACTTCTGGAATCAAAGAAGCTTATGATTTAATCGATAGGTTGGATCCTTTATGAGAATTATAATCAAATTTATGATTAAGTCGGTGTTAATATTATTTTTCATATGACAGGGAAAACCTTTATAAATGGTTTCTCAAACTAAAGAGAGACGATGGATCATTTATTATGCATGAAGGTGGCGAGGTTGATGTGCGGTAAGAAAAATCTAAACGTTTTCATTATACCTTTATAATTTCGTTTTTATTATTTATTAAAGAAAATCTTTTTTTTTTTCATTTTGCTCGTAGTGGAGCATATTGTGTTTTATCTGTTGCCACACTAACGAATTTGATCACACCAGAGTTGACAGCGGGTACTGCTGAATGGATTAAACGGTAAAGTCCGTTTACGGATTTAATTTTGTCATTAATAACTTTTGAGGAAAAAAAAGAAATTTGTTGAATTGACACACTATTCTTTATTTCAAGGTGTCAAAATTATGACGGGGGAATTGGAGGGGTACCGGGCATTGAAGGGCATGGTGGATACGCGTTTTGTGGTCTTGCTGCCATGGAGATTATGGGCAAAACTGATTTACTTGATATTCCACTACTTTTGGTAATTTCTTCATTTTATAAGACCAAGTAAAATTTTTTAAAGTAATGATTAAAAAGAGTTTCATTCCATTTCTTTTTAGCGCTGGGCATCATCACTTCAAATGCAAATGGAAGGTGGATTTCAGGGACGACCGAATAAGTTAGTTGATGGTTGTTATTCTTTTTGGGTCGGTGCCTTGTTTCCTTTATTGGAAGCAATATTGACAAAGCGTCAATACGAGAAAGATGTAGCAAATTCAGAGGATACGCAGTGCATTTGTAAGTTTTTATCAATTTTACTAAACGGGTGTTTGGGAATGAGGTCATATAAACTAATAAGATCCTCCTTGATTCGATTTTTCAGATCGACCATTATTTGAAAGAGGTTATTTTATTATGTTATACGAAAACGTATTTTATACCTTTGGGTAACAAGAGAACTAACTTCATTAAATATATAATACAGAGGCACTTCAAGAATATATTTTGATCGCTTGTCAAAGCCCTAAGGGCGGATTGATTGACAAGCCAGGACGTGGTGCAGATCATTATCATACTTGTTATTGTCTTAGTGGTCTTTCTACCTCTCAACATCATGTAATTTATGATTTTGAAAGGGCGAAAGGAGAAGACTTGGATTCAGGTGCTAGGTCATTACTGTGGGAGGAAGAAATTACAAATCGAGTGGTAGTAGGAGATCCAGATAATTTAGTCGTGAGTAATCAACGAAGTGTATTACTTTTTTATAAATGATATTTCTATATTAATAATTCTTTATGTGTTATTTAGAAACCCACGCATCCGATTCATAATGTTACATTACCTAATGTTCGGAAAATGATTGAACATTTTTATGGGAAAAGAGAATTGTAAATTCGAGCGTTAGATGAAAGGAATATTCTGTCTTTTTTTTGTACAATAAATATTTTATTAAACATTGCAAAACGGAATGATAGTTTTTTTTTTTTTTTTTTTCAATTTACAATATTCTATTTGAAAACAAAATGAAAATAAACACGATTGTTGTCATTAAAAATTGATGCTTTTTTTTTTCATGAATTCAATTTTTTTTTTTTTTTTTTTTTTTTTTTTTTTACAAACTATAAATGATATAACGAAATTCCTAATACATCTTTTTTACATAACAATTTCTACATAGTTTTATGCATTTATCATTGTGTTTTTGTTTTTTTTTGAGTCTGCCATGAAATTATTCCAAACAATTCAATTATATAAAAAAAAAAAATCATTATTTGCTTTTATCCAAACTTGGTTATCTTCTTCAATCAACCTCTTCAACAAGAGTTTTTTCTTCGGTTTTTTCAATCGTAGTTTTTTCAGTCGTGGTATTTTCAGTCGCGGTATTTTCAGTCGCGGTTTTTTCAGTCGTGGTTTTTTCAGTTGTGGTTTTTTCAGTCGTAACGGCATCCGTAACACTTCCACTACCACTGGCAGATGCTTCAGCAGGTACATCATCCTCCTTTTTTTGTTCACTAGCTGCTTCAAAATTTTCAACTAATTCAGGGATATCATCATCATCGGCAGTATTTTCAGATTGTACACGTTGAGAATCTAAATTAAATTGTTGATATGATTCAGCCAATTTACGAAGTGAAGCAAGTGAATCAGGACCTAATTGATTCAAAATTCCCGGTACAAGTTCAGTAAGTTCTTTATCTTCGCCTTGACCATAGATAGCAAAAGTATTCGCGTGAACCGATGCATGAACTGATGATATTATATAACGAGGAAGGGGGGAAGGTAATGTTTAGTAATTTTATTTGCATCAATGGGAAGGGAAAAATTGGTGCAAATCATATACCTTTGGGGGCAGTAAAATGGATTACATTGCCATCTTCTTTAAACATGTTAACCTCTTCAATTGCTTGAATAGGTTGAACGTTAAGTTTCTTCAGTGTAGATTGAAGTTTCTTATCATCATTTGTAGCGGTTTTATAAACCTTTTTAACTTTACGCCTAGGTGTTCCTTTACCACCTATTTACAAGATAATTTCATTAAATTTCTTTTTTTTTAAAAAAATCATAATTATCAAAGTTGAATTTAAAATTTAATGACTTACCAATACGAACTTGAGACTGAAGTTTGGCAAGTTTTTCCGGATTCATTATTATTCTATATTTTTTTTTAAGAAAAAAGAAAATATAAACGTATAAAACCGTGAATTTGAGAGGATAAAGAAAAAGAAAAACTAATATCAATTTTTTTTTTTTTTTTTTTTTTTTTTGATTGATATCCTATTTAAATAACAAACAATTTTACCAGTATTATTCAAAAAAATTAGTTGGCATTAAAATATATGACAGAATTTATTTTATTCTTTTCTTTTTATATATATATATATATATATATATCCAAAAAAATTACGAACGTTAATTTTAAAAAACCCGTATGCCCCACTTTATTTTCTCTGAAAAAAATTTTTTTCATTTAATTAGATGTCACGTGAGAATCTGATCATATCTGATCAAATCTAATCATAACTGTACCCTGGTACTATAGAAACTTTTTGTATTATTTTTTATTTGCAAATTAAAAAGTGACAAATTCTATTTCTTATTATATTTATCCGTTTTCAAATTACACTATTTTTTAGATTGAACGTTTCCTAAAGTAGAAGCAACCTGAGTAGCTTCTTGTATAGTCCTAGCGAGTGTAGAACGTATTTTACCATCTTCCATTGTAAGTAAACCGGCAATTGTACATCCAGCTGGTGTGGTTACACTATCTTTAATTTCAGCCGGATGCTTGCCAGTTTTAAGTACCATACGCGCTGCTCCTTGGATTGCTATATAATCAAAGTTGTGGGTCAAGGAAATTGAAATACATTTGTAAAAAAAAAAAAAAAATGATTTGATCTATTTACCTTGAGCTGCTAATTCTAATGCCACCTCACGTGGAAGTCCCATCATTACTCCTCCATCCGCAAGTGCCTCAAGCACGACACTTTTTGATTAAAAAAAAAAAATTAATAAATGACGTGATCATTCTTGATGAATTTACCAGGATCGTTACATCGCTCACCATGCAAATGCAGGTCCACTTCCCGAAAGGCCAGTTACGGCATCTAAATGCTTCTCATCCAGAATTCTAACTCTACCCAACGTAGAAAACACCCAAGTACAAAATGATTTATCATCCGTACTACAATCCATAGGACAGCTTAGGACTGTCATGCCCTCTCTAATCTGCATAATCCAAAGATTAATATTTAACCCCTCCAAAAATAAAATAAAATAAAAAGTGTAAACTCTCATTACCATGCACGGAGTATTTGGCATTGCTCTAATAACACGAGTTGAAGAAGGAAGCCATTCTTTTAATTGACTTATTGTCACTCCCGCTAAAATACTAACTATTAGCTTTTTCTCAAGTGCTTCTGCCATACCTTTTTCTGTCAAGATATTTTTTGCAACTTGAGGTTTAGTACTTTGGTTTAAATAAAAAAAAAAAAGTTATATTAAATTTAAAATTACTTTGACCAAGTTTCGCATTCGTCAAATGAAGTTAACTCAAGCTACTTCGAATTCTCGGGATTTCTCATTTACCATAATATTACAATATCAGCCGTATTAACACCTTCAACATTATTCCCGATTAATACCTTAACATTATCACTAAATGCCTTGGTAATTTTTTGTCCTGATTCTTCTCCTGATACACAAGCAATGAAGTTTTTCGGAGCAAAAGTAGTATCGACTACCTCACTTGTAGTCGTCGTTGTTACTTTTAAACAATCTAAAATTCCGGATAGTATAGCCCTGCCCATAGTTCCACAGCCAAGAACACATACTGTAGGATTAGTGGAAAGTGGCATCTTTCTTGATGAGCCAAAGACTGATAACGAATACAAATTCCTGTCTTTTTTTTTTTTTTTTAATATAAATAAATTCGGTATAGCGTTCAAGTGGCTTAACTTGGTTCTGTGTGATCTGTGAAACAAGCAGTCATTTTTTATTTTTTCGACTTCTGTATATTTTTATACGGAAAGGCGTTATTTAAAATCATAATTTATGCTAAACAATAATAATAACAATAACAAATGAATTTGATTTTTAATTTTTTTAATAATTAGATTCATTTTAAATGTCACTTCCTGGAAGGATTTATTAATTAGGTTGATATCATATAAGGAACTTCAAGTGATAACCATTTCTTGCTAAAATCAAAACTGATCATATAATTTATAGATCGGTCTTTTAAAAAGATCGGTAAATTAAAAATTACTTGATTTATATTGGGGGTCCCAGCGCGTTAAAAAAGTTCGCGTATACGCAAAAGAATTCATGTGATCAGTTGATCATAGTCTCATAATAAATATTACATCAAATTCTGTAATCGGATCGTAGATCTTTAAAATAATATAAAATACGACTCGGTCAAATTGTTTTTCTTTTGATTCCCTCTTTTTGTTAAATAGTAGATCCACGTTGTATTATGAATGTCTTAAAATCCTTAAGCAAATATATTTGGGGTAGCTAGTGACCTTTTCTTACAGAGTGTTTTTTTGCATTATTAATGAGTAAAGTGAATTAAAAAATATATATTTATTTCATGTAGGAAACCCTGATAATCCTGAACTCATAAAGATAACAAATGGTGAACTTTACCTTGTTAGACCGAACAGTTTAAAAGGAAACCGAGAGTGCATGTACGTGTTTATTAAGTATTTGTTTCGCATTATAAGACGATTTATTGACCAAGTTATTTTCATAATTACCGACTTTTATATAGTTTTCACACCGCTCAAGCTAGCGTTCGGCGTACTGGGACCGATTGGCAATATCAAATAGTTATCAGTAGAGTATTTGATGAAGGTGAAGAAGAATTGATGGATGATGATGAAGAAGAATGTATGATATAATCAAATCATATTATAATGACCATTCTGGATGATTATGTCTGATATAACAGTTTTTACGATTCTTTAGTTGATGAAGAAAAGATTTTCCTTATTGATGAATCTCTAAGGTTTCGTAAGGGTCAATTCGAAGGACTCGCCTCATTCTCTTGGAGGGATTTATCCGGAGTAAGTTGTTATCAAACCTAATTTTTAAACGCGTATGCTAATCCAAGTTTAATTAAAACATAGGACCCTGATGATTTATTTGAATTTGTTTGTGACATGAATGTTACCGCGCATACCGTAAATACCTTTGAATTTACAGTGTATAATTGTATGTTTGAACGAAAATTTCAATTATCTCATGAAGAAGCGACGGAAGAAGGGATTCAAAGTTTTATTTACGAGTAGGTCCTTTGGTTTAGACAAACCTTTGAGAAAAAATATTCATTTCTTTTATTAACTATCATAAATTAATTATTCGCATATTTGTTGTATTTACCTTTCTCCGATAGGCCAGGAAAGAAAGATGATCAAATTGATAAGACACCACCATCAACCCCAAAGAATGGAAGAACTGGTTCAAAAAGTCCATATGCCACGCCAACATCAGCTAGTACGACTCCGAAGAAGGCGCGAACTGCGGAAAATCCATCTACCCCCACAAAGTCGGCCATTATATTAGAGCTTCCTGGCGTCGGCTCGTTCAAGACTGTTTCGATGATTGATGTTGAGGTCGAATTACACGTCTTTGATCCACGTACTGCCACATTTTTAATGCAATCACCTCTAGCAACAACGAGCATTTTAAGAGGGAATGGTTATGAATGTATCCTTTTGGGTTATTGAACCTCCTCAAGTCATAAATTTTTTTCTCTTAATACAAAAATATCATATTATTTTAACGGGTGAAATTATTCAAATAGATTGGCTTCTTGTTGAGGATGAAGATCAAAGGCACGTGATACAGAGAATAGAACCGAGAATGAATCCGGTGTTCAATACGGTAATAAACCCCCCCCAAGTTTTTTTCATGATTCGGTAGTTGTCGTTATTTAATGTAGTAACAATTTCTTTCTGAAAACAAAAAACTTATAGACACATCACTGTTTTATATGGGTATATTTTGATGGTAAAAATTCTATCTCTTTCAATGATGATATCCTAGAACATGAGACTAATCACCATTTTGGATATTCTTTAGGAAATAATCTGATCCATTCCTTTTTAATCAAATTTCTGGACTCGGATCATGAAACCAGCTTTAAAAAGAGATTCACTTCAGCTATGTATGAAACTTTAAACGAGACGAAAGCCAAGGTTTTTTCATCATTTCAAAAACTATCTCGAATATTTTTACCTTTAGTATTATTAGTTGCTAAAGTCCTTCATTTAGGAAGAGGAACAAGATTATCTTCTGAATGCATATCAGGATGAAGATGTCGAGATGAGTGATGCCAGGGATTCCGATGAAGAGGAATCGGAAGAAGGTATCTCAAATCATATTCATAACGTGCTATTTTTCTGTTTTACTCAATTTTTATACCTGAATTTTTCTAAATACAGAGGAGGATTCGTCAGAAGAAGACGACGATGATGATATCAACACCGAAGCTGAAGAAGGAGACGGTGTTAACACCCAACTTACCGTTGGTCATAAACTTGATAGATCTTTTGTTCTTAAGGGCAATAAAATTGGTGTATTCAAACACATTGACGATGATAAGATAGAATTTTCTACTAATATCAATAATATTAAGACAACTCACGGGAAAAAATTCAATCCTTCAAAGGTTGTGATTGGTAACTTTTTTGTACGAAACGATTTTTTTTTGATATTTACACGCGTGCGTTTGTTCTTTTGTAGATGATGTTGCACGAGGGTGATTCCACCATGATTTTGATGGATGAAAACGATGAGCATAACCTTTACAAGATGGACCTAGAATATGGAAAAGTGGTAGAAGAATGGAATGTTCATGATATAATTCCTGTTGCCAATATTTTCCCAAAAAGCAAATTCGCCCAAATGACGGGAGAAAAAACATTCATAGGTTTATCACAAAATTCGATATACAGCATCGACCCTCGCTTGCCGGATTATAAATTGGTTGATGAAAAGCGTCGGCAGTACGTTACCAAGAATGATTTTCTCAGTGGAACCACTGATGCGAAAGGTCACATTGCCGTAGGAACTGCTAAAGGTGATATCAAACTATTTGATTCGCTGGGAAAGATCGCAAAAACAAATTTACCTGCCATGGGAAGTGCTATCAAAGGAATCGACGTGACTTCTGATGGTAAATGGCTAATTGCTACTACCGATAAGTATTTGCTGTTGATAAACACAGAAATCAAATCCGATCATGAAGGTAGGACAGGATTTGAAAAAAGTTTCGCAAAAACAGAAAAGGTATTTCACTTTCCTTTTTTTTTAAAAAAAAAAAAAGAATTACATGATACGTCAATATGAAATTTATTTATTTTTATTTTTCATTTAGCCAAAAGCCAAAAGGCTTCAATTGAAACCGGAACATTTAGCTCTTATGAAGCATGACGTAAGTATTAATACGTTTGTTATATAATTAATGCGTCGAGAGATCCTTTTTTTAATCCGTTTTGGAATGATTTAAGGTTAATTTTACGCCGGCAAGATTTAATACCGGAGAATATGAAACAGAAAGAACGATTATCACTAGGTAAGATGAAATTTCAAAATTTGGGTGAGGTTCAATTAAATAAGCACTATAATTTATTTTCATTTTTACTTTTTAGTACTGGACCATTTGTTATCACTTGGAACTTCCGACAAGTCAAACTAGGCAAATTAAATGAATATCATATTAAGCGATATAGTGATGATGTAGTCGCAGACAATTTCCGATTCGGACAAGATAAGTCAATCGTTGTTACTTTGCCATATGATGGTAAGTTTATTATTTTGTTCTGATTACTTTGCCGCGTTCATCATTGACTATTGACATTTAATAAATTTTTTCGTGATCATTAGTTACTCTAACCAGAAAGAAACATTTATCAACTCCGACAAAATCAATCCTTACACCTTCAATGGTATGTAACAATTTTTTTTTTTCCTTTTGCTATTTGAATAATCTATATATTTGATGATACTAATAAACTATGCTTACCAGCAATCTCCTTCACGATCAAGAAAAAATATTGTAAAAACATATGAAAATTAATAGTATCACGATGACCATTTGTATAATTATTATTTGTATGATCATAGAATCAAAATGTTATTAATATTTCACATATTAAACCTTCAACTTTAAGATAACTTTAATCATATGTAACAAAATGAGATTTTTAAAGCTTCACAAAAAATTCTTGATTTTTTTGAATTCTTTAATATTTTACTACGGCTCAATACTGAGGTGATTTTAAAACTAAAATACCGACAAAACGCAGTAGCTTCATTCATGATGATTATATATTATAAGTTTTATTGAGAATACATGTAAGCAGTGATGTGCACTTGGAAGATTGGAAGCACCCTTGGAAGCACTTTTGGAAGGGTTGGAAGCATAATTCTCTAATAAATTCATTTGGATTGGAAGCTTCCAATCAAATTTTATACTAATGGAAGCATAAAATGCACATCACTGCATGTAAGATATATTAAAAAGAACTAGGTCAGCAAAAGCACGTCGACGCAAATTGGACATAACCCAAGCACGACAATTAGAAAACTTTGCTGTATAAAGATAATGAACAATATGCGTAAAAGGTTGGTTAAGTTGCTAAAGTTTAAATCATGTGAAAGAAGGTCTCAATTTTGCTTATATAATCTAACCTAAATCTGTTTAGAACGGAAAATAAATTAATTTTTTACTACTTTTAGCTTAAATAAAGTTTGATAATTATTTTTAAATTTTAATGTTTTTTTTTTTTTCGGGTCGGTTTATTTTTTTTTTTTTAGGCGAGTTCTTTTGAGCTGGATCCATAGGTAAGTTTTTTTTTTTTACTTTATCTTTTCATTAAATTATTTCAAGCAATGCTGTGATCTTTAGTATACTTCAGACCTTGGAACGTGCACAACGGACTTATAAAATACTAAGAGATTTGCAAAAATTGCAAAATTCTGAGAAATCACAAAGTATTTGCGAAATTTTAAAAAAATTGTAAAGTAATTATGAAATTCTTAAATAAATCACAAAAATTGTGAAACTTTAAGAGAATCGCAAGAAACTCTTAAAGAAATCACAAAACTCTTAATAGAATCACAAATAGTTGTAAATTCTCTTCAAAATTCACATACAAATTATCAAACTTAAAAAATTGTCAAAATTTGCAAAAAAGTTAAAAATTCTCACAAATTTTCTTCAGAATTTATATATAATCAAACTGAACTTTTAGAATAATTTGAAATTTTCAGTTCAATTCATATTTTTACCAGCTTATGGTTTAGTTAAGATTTAAACTGACATTTTTAAGATTAATAATCTAAACTGAACTGAACTAAAATTTTCAATTTAAATTTAGATTGGCTTATAATTTGAGCGATATATCATTTTGAGAGTTTTTGACTTTACAATATTATATTACTAATGCAACAAATTATTTTTCAAATTTTTTTTAAAATGTCATTTTCATCTTAGTGTTTTAATAGATTTCTAAAAGGATCAATAAGTTTTTTAATCAACTATTTTAATATAAATTATCTATCCCTTCAAGCGTTTTGCAGGCAAATTTGCCTGCAATTTTATTTAATAATTAAAATTATTTATAATAATTTTAAA